ACAAATCGGTGGGCTGGGAAAGATCTTTGAAATTGATGTGAATATGTTCACCGAGTTGGGGGAGGTAGATAACCAATAAGTACCGTATTTTCCCGCAATCACGCAGTTCTACTTCAACATTGCATTTTCGGTGAACTCTGCCGTAAAACAAGCGAAAGCTTCTGTGTCATGGTTCCTGATCGGTCAGAGAAAAGACTTCAATCCGAGATTATCAAACACATTGCACCTAGATATACTATCTACTCTGACCCATGGAAAGGGTAAAATTCAAACGACCTAGCGCCAGCAGGGGTATGACGAATTGAATCAGATCCGATCCGAATGGAACCAGATTAGACCTACTCACCAATGCTCTGCTGCGCTTCGCTGGTGCAATTAAACGCTAATTTCGCGCGTATGCCAATTGGGGGAGGTAGATAACCAATAAGTACCGTATTTTCCCTTAACAGACAACCGAGTTAGCAGCTTGTTAACTCTTTGAAGCTCAATAACACCAAAACTATAAAAATAGTTTGTAGAAAAAAGCTTTTTAGGACGGATTTGAGAAGATGAGAGAGGAGGCCGTCGAGCACGCCTTGTCGCTTAGCGTGATGAAGGAGGCGTTCGAGAACAAATTCAACGACACAACGCAAGGTTGGTTGGGCGCCGTTCAGCTCATCACTCAGCAGCTTTTCGATAACCTGGCTATGTGAATCGTTCAGCAATTCTCGTCAATGCGAATCGAGCCGAAAGTCCAAGTGAGCCAACTGGAGACGAAAATTCTCGACGGTTTTCGGTGAGTTGATGGAACGCATTTTGATGGAACAAAGTGTGGTCGAGTGAGGTAGAAATGTGAGGCTTTTGCCTCTGATAGTCACTGTGACCCCGAAACTTATTTGGAGTAAATTTAACTCGAAAATTATCCAGAAACATCAAACATTCTCGACGAATTGACGTTTTTCAGTGACCTAAAAGGCTCATTCACAGCGGAAATCGCCGACTTTCGAGCAATCTTCGAGCAATCGGAACTCAAAGTATTCTTGAAATGATTAGCAATCATCATCAATTGGGATTTCAGGCAATCTTCAATCCGATCAATTCGAGTCGGGCTTTCTTCTCGAGACAATTTTTAACACATGAAGGTTATCTTTCCATCAAAAGCCACTCCTTCTTTCTATTTTCCGTGATAAGAGATCGCTCATTAGGTATTACGGAAAATAACTGGGTTTTTCTCAATGATTTTCAATTGCAAATTTTTTTATTAAGCAACAATCAAATTAATTAAGATAACAAGCGTTAGACCCAATACATTTTTGCCAATGAGTAGCCAGTTTTTCGACCCAAAAAAGTCGGGCTGTCTAGAGGCGCAGAAATCTTCGATAGCATTTTTCACCTGTTTTGTTCTTCAAAATTTCGTCTGCGATGTAACGATCGAGATGCTTGTAAAAGTGACGATCTGTTGGAAGAAGATTAGGTGAATACGGCGGATGAGGAAGAACTTCGATCTTCAAACTTTTTGCAAGCAATTGAGGGTCTTCAAAGATGCTCAAGTTGGTCGGGGGATGCGGGCGGCTTAATAAAAATTGCAGTCACACCATCGACAAGGCTCTTCGGGGACTCGATCGAAGCAGCTTCCTTTTCTCTCAATATTCTCAAGGGCTTTCGAGGAAACTCGATGTTTGTTCTTCCAACTTGATGTCGAACTGTCAATTTCAGAATGTCAACACCGGAATTAAGGAAAAGTTTTTGGAGCAGAGGAAAGCCGTTGAGTTGCACCTCTTCGTTGAGTTGCAGCTTTCTAGCGATGTAGATGAGACCGTCGAGAGTCTGCAATTCTTTACTTGACAGAGTTCTACATTGGTTGAAATTTCTCCTTTTTGTTCTTCGAAATGAACGTTTCAGTAGCCGGACTGACTAGAATACTCTCAACAGAAAGCTCAATGGACAACAGAAAAGAGACACAATGCCTTTAGCTATCTGTATCATTCGCATCACATGGATTCAAAATTGCACCTCATCCCGAAAATGCGCAATGAGACCGGTGTTGTGATCGGTGGCTTTCCTCTGCTCCAAAAACTTTTCCTTAATTCCGGTGTTGACATTCTGAAATTGACAGTTCGACATCAAGTTGGAAGAACAAACATCGAGTTTCCTCGAAAGCCCTTGAGAATATTGAGAAAAGGAAGCTGCTTCGATCGAGTCCCCGAAGAGCCTTGTCGATGGTGTGACTGCAATTTTTATTAAGCCGCCCGCATCCCCCGACCAACTTGAGCTTTCGATCTAAGGGTCGGAGATCCTCGTTGTTCGCAAGCACTTTTTGCCGGGTCTCTTTGGAAATCTGAAAAGTTTCAGTCTCTATATTTATGGCTTACACAAACATATTTGCCGCGTAGATAAAATCGCCAAAAACGCGACTCTGAAATGAAATTGAAAAGAGGCAGCTTCAACTGAAACGCCTCTATAGTCTTGTAGACTTTATTGAAACCCTGAAACCTTAGGCTCAGGCTTAGGCTCAGGCTCAGGCTTAGGCTCAGGCTCAGGCTTAGGCTCAGGCTCAGGCTTAGGGTCTTGAACCCATTTCTAGTAGGGTCTTGAAACCCTACTAGAAATGGGTCAATTAGAATAATAATTGATACAAAGAAAGTCAACTCGACCTCTTCTCTTTCACGGCAATCAATGTGTAAGGGATTTTAAGGATCTCAAAATCCAAAACTCACAGAAAGCCATCTGCTCATCCGCTCATCCGCTGACTGATTCGGAGACCCGCTGATGGGTTGGGATTGGGTTGGAGTGGATTATCCATAGGGGTAGGTGATTGTAGGATCCAAACATGGATACAAGTTGCACGTAGCAACCACGATATCAAATTTAGATCCACTCGAGATCTGTTGTACCAGGACAAACGTCCCGGCGATCAAATGGGTCACATTCGACCGAGAGCCGAAGGAGGCTCCGGAAAGGTCCACGACATTTTCTCCCAAGCTGGACCCGTCAGTGAAATTAATCTTGACATGCGCATTTTGACATCAGTACAATCAAGGGCTCAGCGCGAAGATGGAAGACGGAGTTCGCCAAACACTGAGGGATAATCCACAAAACTTAGTTTATGTGAAGGTTGGGAGAGAATCTATCTAGATCAGACTCCAACCAATTAGCATCATTTCGACATGGGTGCCCGAGAAAATCAGTTCCGAGCTTCCGGAGTCTAGTGGATTGACACATCGAGAGATCAAATAGTGGCCTATCGCATTCCAAACCAGTTCTCAGTTCAGACCTAAACGGTCCGCATTCTTGCCCAACTTGCAGCATTCAGATATCAAATCTAATTGCACAAACACGGCGAGCACAGCGTCGATTCGGGATACTTCAAGAATGGCGACTTCTGAAGAAAGCGATTGATGATCATTGTTTGAAAGCATCTCCCTTGATAACGATCATTTAATAATTACCCACAATAATAAAGTTCTCATTCAAACCTTAGCTACGTAATTCTTCGCTAACGTCGCTTCTTGGTACAAGGTTTGGTGACTGTTGTGAACCAGGATTATCTTCATCCCGAGGTTCCCGATCAAGAAATGACATTTGATGAAGCCGAGGCATATTGTGGAGGCAGAAAGAGCCATTTAGTCTCAATTCACAGTCAGCAAGAGAACGAGTTTGTTCAGAAACTCGGTAAGGAATCGAAATGATTCAGTTTGGAAGATTCATGATTTTTGCAGAAATGTATGCTTTATAAACCAAAAACAAGATTTTTTCAGCCAAAAATGTTTATTCGAAAGAAGTGTTCTGGATCGGACTAAAGGTTGAATTTTTCTTATTGAAAGGCATAATGTTAAAGTTAAGTCTTTTTTGAGATTTTTTCAGCCATTTTTGGAACGCTCTTTGTAAAAAAGATTCGTTTGACTGATAGTTCTTTGATAGAAATAATGGTTTCGATTGGGAAGCCAGAATGATTTCCATAATTAGAAAGGAAAATCGGATAGAAATCATAGTTTGAATTGAAGGACTAGAATAGTTTTAAAATGTTTTAAATAGTTTGAGTTGAAATGAAAAAAAATTGTATGAAATATCAACAGTAAAACATAAAAATTTCTTTATTCAGAGAAATCCGAACAAAGGAAATGCTTTTGAATGGATGGATGGACGTTCGGTGGATTTCACGAATTGGGACGTTGGAGAGCCGGATTCGAACACCCACGCTTTTGTGAGATTTTCAACGTGAAATCATCGATATTTATTGTAATTTCCAATGCATAGTTAATCCTAAAATATCTGGATCAATCTTAGGAGATTTCTTTGTGTAGAATAACGCAAAGTGTTTTATCTAAGTATTTCCATCAGAAATGAACACATTTCAGCTTTGGGGCTAGGAAATGGGAGGGAAATGGGAGGTCTTTTCTCCTACCGATCAGTTTCGTTTTATTTGCAAAAGGAGCTCTCAGTTCTGAGAAATGCTTTATCTTCCTATCTATGGACAAAAACCAATAAATCCCATTTATTTCAATCTTCTGAAAACACACAACTGCAGATTGTTTTTTTCTAGAATAGAATAACGGCATAGATCGAAAGCTCGGCGTTCCGTGATTCGATCGGGCGGCGATTAATTTGTTATCATTTTGTGGAATGGCTCTGAACACTGAATCTGTTTGACTGATCATGTTTGTTCTGGTTAGTTTCGCGAATAATTTAGTACTAATTCCATGTCACCATCCTTGTATCAGGACTGTATGTTTTCAAACTTTCAAAAAATACAAAAATAACTTTGTATTTTTTGAAAGTAAGCAATACTTTTTTCAAAGTTACGATTAAAAAGCGTGAATACTCGTTTAGATTAGGTCGGTGATATCCACAAATTGATTGACTTACTATCTTAAATGCAAATTTTGGAAGCTATGACTAGTGGTGTCGACAACTTACGTTGAGCTTAGCATTGATATGTTCTAGATTGCGTTTCATTTTTGTTTTGGGTCAGAATACAGTCACCTTTTTTTGCCCCAATTTATTCTCATCATAAAGCATTAGCTTCCACCCAATTGATATCGATCCATACATTCGAAACCGAAGCCATAATACGAGCAGAGCGTTTCCCCATCAGCTGACCAAGTCACGTCTTTCCTTGCACAAACTGCTTGAAAGTATTGAGTATACGTGCCCCAGTTGCCAGCTTTTTCTTGCTAAAATAATTCCTTTATAAAGAAGAAAAAAACTAGAGCTGTTTATGCAGATCTTATCATTCCCAATCCTTTTTGAAAGTTGAGATTAGATTGAATCAAGATTTGGATTTCTTTGAGACAAAACACCTACAACACAACACTTTTGCACATTAGCTAAAGGATTTTTCGATTTGCAAGCCCATGTGCATTCGGAGATATGACGAAAGTGGCGAATGCCTGATGGTTCCAGGCTAAGTCAGGAGCTGGAGTTGGGAAATGTTTGAAATGGAAAAGGTTACAAGTCTGATACTGATTACTGAAGCGGAATGAGAACAAGATTTATAAGGAAAAGTCCAACACTCACCAACGAGCAGCAGAATAGTTGCCCAGAAAAGTGTTTGCATTCCCATTGAGTGTAAGCAATTTTTTGGTCAAGCAGTCATTTTATAGAGGTCATTCGTCTAGTTTGATCTCGTGGATTGGTCAATTTGTCATTGAATGCCAAGTCTATTCATTTTATTGTTAAGTTAGAATTGGAATGACCGCGCTAGGCCTGGTATACCAAGCTTTGGTCAAACTATTATTGAAACTAAATCCAATAAAGAGATCAAATGATGCATTTTTGTTGGCCTTTCACCGCCCACACGACGAATTTTTGCTAAATTTCAAATGTTAACTTTGGGTTTGTAAAATAAATGTGATTGAAGATTTGAAGAAGGCAAACTTTTGGTAAAACAAAATCGAAATAGTGGAATGGGTAAATGGACGAGAAACCATTTCAAAACATTTCAAATCGAAAGATTCCTTATCTTCACACCCTGGTCATTCCTTCCTTGTCATTCCTTAATTCCACTATTTTAAATTTTTATACAGACAATTTTCATTTTCAACTTTCATTCAATTTATTCCTCACCACAATTTTTTATTTTACGGTTTCACAATGCGACTTCTCATCCTGTTCTTTGCCCTTTTTGCTCTTTTTGGCCTAAACGAGGCGCTGATAAACCGGTAAGTTTTGAAAGTGTATCGTAATATTAAGTTGGAAAGAAATTAGCCGGAAAAAAATGAGTCCAGCTTTCCCTTCAAATTTTAGAGATTTTTGTGGGATCATCAAAGAATCTGAGAAGAATTCGTGGCTTGATTTTTGAGAAATCACCGTGCAAACTTTCTCCGAGACTTTCTTTCCAACCTAAAAAGCACACTATCGGAAATCAGTTCTGAGCCTCCGGATTCAAGTGGGTTGATAGATCGAGAGATCAACTAGTGGAAATGTATCCCCCTCCTTGACCCACTGGCAACATTTAGATATCAAATCGAATCGCACAAATACGGCGAGCACAGCGTCGATTCGGAATACTTCAAAAATGGCGACTTTTAAAGAAAGTGATTGATGATCATTGTTTGAAAGCATCTCTTTTCATTATGATCATTTAATAACTGCCAACAATAATAAAGTTTTCATTCAAACCCACACTGGTTTCTCTCTTTTTTGATCTCCACCAAAACTTTGCTCTATTTAGAGTTGTTCCTAATCTTTAGGCACTTGAGCTAATCTGCAAAAAGATAACAAATTGATCGCCTCTCGATCGAACCACGGAACGCCCAGCTTTCCTCTATGCCTATAGCTAAAAACTGAGAAAAGAACGTGGTAAAAAACACACAGTCATTATCAAAAAAAACTAAATATTGATGTTCAATACGTGTATCTCATAGTCTATTTAGGAGCGACGAGAGAGCAAAATACTTGCAGCTTCAGGCGGAATTCTGGGTCTTTGGGAAAACTTTTATATGAGATTTTGAAGAAACAATTCAGAAATAAAGAAAAAGTTGATGTGCAGTTGTGTGTTTTCAGAAGATTGAATAAAATGGGATTTATTCGTTTTTGTTCACAGAAAGGAACATATTTATCAGAATTGAAAGCTCCTTTTGCAGATAAAATAATCCTGATTAGTAGGATAATAGGCCCGCCATATCCCATCGGAGCTATGAAGCTGAAATGTGTTCATTTCCGATGGAAATCTTTTGATAAAACACTCTGCGTCATTCCAGAAAAAGAAATTTTCGCAGATTGATCGAAATGTTTTTGGATTAATTATGCATTGCAAATTGGAATAGATATTGATTATTTCACGTGGAAAATCTCACATAAGCGTGGGTGTTCGAACCCGGCTCTTCAACCCTCCAATTCGTGAAATCCACCGAACTTCCATCCGTCCATTCAAAAGCATTTCCTTTGTTCGGATTTCTCTGAATAAAGAAATTTTTATGTTTTACTGTTGATATGTCAACCAAATTTTTTTCATTTTAGAACCATTCTAGTTTGTCAATTGAAACCATTATTTCTATTAAAGAACTATCAATCAAACGAATAGATTTTTCACAAAAAGCCTTTCGGAAATGGCTGAAAGAATCATTTGTTTCTATATATTTATTTATGTCTTTCAATAAGAAAAATTCAACCTTCAGTCCGATCCAGAACCAACCATACCAAGAAACAGTTTTCGCTGAAATAAATATCGATTGTTTTGGCTTATAAAGCCTAAAATTTCCACGAAAATCATGAATTTTCAGAATTGAATCATTTCGATTTCTTACCGAGTTCCCAAACAAAATCGTGCTCTTCCTGACTGTGAATGGAGACTAGATGGCTCTCTCGACTCGCACAATATGCCGCAGCTTCATCAAATGCCATTCTTTGATTGGTAACCTTGAGATGAAGATAATCCTGGTTCACAACATCCACCAAACCTTGTACCAAGAAGCGGTTTTTGCCAAATACGACCATCCATCCCGATACAGATCCAAGAGATTCATGGTCTGATTTCTGAATTTCTTAGGAAAACATTAGTCCAGATCCTTTAGACAAATACTCAATCTATTTTCTTAAAAAAACGCATAAATCTGCCCTCAATCTCTTGATTTCGACCATTTTGTTTTCTCTTTTGAATTGTTAAGAAGGGAGTTGATTGGATTGAGTGGAATGGGTGTTTTGGGAGTCAAAAAACTGTTTTCTCAAGTCGCAGTCCACAAGAGATACCAAATAGACTCACATTTGGGTTTCGAGGTCAGAGTTCTTGCTCTGCAACACGTTGATTTTCCCTTCGAGCTCTCCAATCTTGGCTTTTCCGTCTCTTGCTTCCATATTTTGAGTTCTTCTGAAAAAAGCCGATTTTTACTATATATTCAGCTTGTCAAAATGAAAGTTACAAAATTAGTACAGTTGTGCTTCGAGATCGTCGTTTTTCCTTTTCGTCTTGGCGACTTTCCCCATTAAATTCGCCTCGATTTGAGCCATTTTTGCTGTCAATCGACTCATCTCGACGTCTTTGTCCTTCGTTTCGTTCCGCCCTCTTGCGCTGAATACTCAAATTACTCACTACTCAAAATCCAAAAAAGATGAGCTTGAATTCTTCAAGATTTTTGATTTCACCCACATTTCCCTCTCGAGTCCGCTGATTTTTCCTCGGGCCTCGACGAGTTCTTGTTGGGTTTGATTCCTGAAAAGTCTTGTCATTGAGACACTCAAGCCTATTTATTGTTTATTCTATCAATTTCGCTTTTCTCCCAAGAAACTCACAAATTTGGTTGACAAGACCTCAAGCAGACGGTATCCGGACAATCCTCTTTACTGCTGAAATCTAAGATCATCGAAAAACCCCTTTCTAACCAACTTCAAAGTACGATGATCACGAATCTCATCTCGATCATTCGGAGATCTGAATGGTTGAAAACATAGCTATTTGAAGGGAAAAGAATACGTGAATGGATCCACTTGAACGCTTTCTTGAATGGACGAAGAAATCTGATGGAAAAGGAGGGGAATCGTGATGAATAGACCGACGGCCATCACACCCATTCTGCTGAATTGGTTGATTAGTTTTGAATTCGGGGAAATGGGAAGAACGAAGGAGGGACGATTCGATAAACAATTGTTTTTTTACAGATAAGAGCTTTTGAGAGCTTTGAAATTGTTTAGAAAAGCGATTGACTCAGACCCAAAAGCCGTTGAAAGAATCGCCTCGAATAGAACTTCGTGCAAAAAGAGTGGCATTTCGGGAAAAAGAAAGCCGTCAGTTCGTGTGAAGTTTGTGAGTGAGAAAACGCGGAGCTATCAGGAGACTACTTTCGGGGAAGGTCAACTGAACCGACCGTTCCCATCAAATCGCCACAATTGTTCCTCAATCCCCGCGGGGGAAGCTATCTATCTCCCCCGGCGTAAACAATTTTTCCTAGAGTCTATTTGACTTCTCGAACTTCAAAATTCAAAGCTCCTCGAGGTGTCATCATTGTTGATTGTTGTTTTGGTTGTTCTATGTATTTTAAGTTGTTTTGTTTTAAAGCAGAGCATTGTTGTAAAAAGCATAGCTAAACAAAGCTTCTCTTATACGGAAACTGCGATTTTCTCCATTGGCCGAAAACTGAAATGGCCGAAGTGACTGAAGAAGAAAAGAGTGTCAAACGCATAGAAGAACCGGCCATCTCGTTGAAGAAAATCGCCCAACTCGAAGCCGATTTGTGGGTTTTTCGCCAAATCTTTGCTTCTATCAAAAACAGTCTTTAATTTAATTTTGAATTTTCTCGAAGAACAAGTGAAAATTAAAGGAAAAGGCTACTAAATAAGCAGAATTGATGAGAAAATCAAACAAGAAGTTTGTTGCCAAGCAAAATACGGATTTCTTACCAAATAAAGAGAAAGGAGGGGAATGCTCGATTCGTTTAGTCATCATTCGTCAACCAAAAACAATCAATATTCATTTCAGCGAAAACTGAAAACGAAAACTGCTACAAAACAACAATTATTTGGGGCAAGAAATAGAGTGAGAACACCCGGATTTCCTCAATAATTTACCTATATTCAGACTACCATGATTAGAGAACTTTTATTAGTGGCTCTTCCCCACAGTATTGCCTTTTTCCGTCATTTTCGAAATAGCAGACTCTTTGTCAAAAGCAATTCGTTTGACTGATAGTTCTTTGATAGAACCTAAAGTCGATTCTCGTTGATCTCTATTACAAAGGCCTTTAGACACTGTCGTCACTATGCTTGACTCATTATTTTTTGATTTCGTTTGATGGGGCTGGATTTAAGTGGAGATGAGGAATCCTCATTGTGGATACTCCTCCTCCAATTGACAGAGTTCCGAATAGAAAAGGACAAAATAGATAAATGAATAAAATACATTTCACATTAAGACATTCGTTGCAGCTACGATCATCTTCGCCACTCATTAAAGCTGCCTTGATTGTTTCCATTTGTCGAGTCATTTCTGGTAGTTCATTAAGCAAATCTATAGAAAAACTAGTGAATATAAAGGCAATTCATCCACCTTGAAATCGACGTTTGTTGACGTAGTACGTAGCATAGTTATGTGTACATGTTGGACATTTGCCTTGATGGGCATTGGAATGCTTATAAGTTTCTGGTCGTGTCTTCAAACAGCATTCCATCGAAAAATCGAAGCCCACATTGAAGAGCCAACGATTTCTTCAAATGATTGACAAGTTTTTTCAGTTGTGCAGATTGGTTAACTCAAGAGATTTGGAACTAGAATTTTCTTGTTTTGAACGGCCCAAAGAGCCGCAATGAAGTTTTGAAAAAGCTGTCGGGCGGGAGACCAGACCGTTCATTTTCTCGAAGACTGAAATGTGTTCATTTCTGTTGGGAACCATTTGATAAAACATTTTGCGTTATTTTACAAAAAGAAGTTCCCTCAAATGGATAGAAAGATGTTTGAATTAACTATGCATTGGAAACAAATTAATGAATAAATATCGATGATTTCGGATTTCCATCAGATTTCCGTGATGATTTTACCTTTTTCCAGAATAAGCCGAACTTTTGTGTAAATAACTTCAATAATCTCAGCCTTCCATTCATGTTCCAAAAGTTTTAATCTTATTTTATTATTTAACTTTACATACCCACCTTCATCTTTCAACGAGCCTAACACCTCACTTGCTATTTCTGAGGCTTCATCGACTGAACGCCTGAACCTGAGCCTTTGATCTCGAAAAGCTACCTTCTTGGCCAATTTATATTTCAGATCGGTTGGATTGAAAAAGTGATACCCGACGGTCTTCTTTTAACTATCGGTCTAACTATCGGTCCTTTGAAAGCAAATTGAGCCAAAAGTAAAATTGATTGTGGTTTGATGAGTGAATCCTCGTCGTCTTTTTTCTTTCTCGAAATCTTTTGACTTTTGACATCTAGTTGTAGGAATGTCCTCCGAAGAGGAAAACCATGTCGACGAAGAAATGATTGCATCCAACCGTTGCTTCTTTTGGAATCGAGACCAGCCTCAGAAACGGTTCATCGCTTCGGAATAGGTTGGATGCAACTCTCCACAGCCAAATACCCTAATGGATCTGCAATCTGAAATGTGCCTTTCAAGTTTGAGGGAGATCTTCTGATAAGACTTTTCAAGTGTCTGGTAATCACGACTCATCACCAGAAGACACGGAATGAAGAGCGAATCCTTCTGGACTCTCTGATCACTTTTTATCAAAACACGGAATTCTTTTTCTTCACATCCATTTCCTCTCACTTTATCCATTTCCTCTCACTTAACAAAATCATTTAGAAGAAGTAGTCCGAGGTTCTAGGTGAAGTTGTTAGTAACGATGAGGTTTCTACCGGTTTAAATTCAATGAAATCTGTTACTAAAACACGATACGACATTTGACGTTGATACGATTGACTAGCGATTGATTCGTGTCATCGTGAGCTCTGCCCTGCTTCAAAAAGGCAAATCGCATGTTTTTTGGGGAAGAATTCTCGCATCTGATGAAACATGGATTCAATACGAGAATGTGAAGCGCAAAAATCAGTGACTTTCTCTGGGTCAACCCCCACAACCAACTTCAAAACCCGAGATTCATGGAAAGAAACTTATGCTTTGGTGTTGGTGGAATACAAAAGATTTGGTGTATTATGAGTTGTTGAATTCGGGAGAAACTGTCACCGCTGATCGTTATTCAAAACAGTTGATGAGGGTTAACGAAGCTTTAAAGAAATTGGGCGTTGAAACATCAAAAGTGCTATTTTTGCATGATAATGCAAAACCTCACACCGAAAAAGACGAAAAAAATTTGATCATTGAAGGGTGAAATCATCTCAAGGTTCCCATTCAAGAAATGACATTTGATGAGGCCGAGGAATATTGTGCGAGTCGAAAGAGCCATCTAGTCTCCATTCACAGTCAGGAAGAGAACGATTTTGTTCAGGAACTCAGTAAGAAATCGAAATGATTCAATTCTGAAAATTCATGATTTTCGTTGAAATTTAGGCTTCATAAACCAAAAACAATCGATATTTATTTCAGCGAACGAAAACGGGATACTTCAAGAGTGGCGACTTCCAAAGAAAGTGATTGATGACCATTGTTTGAAAGCATTTCTCTTTATTACGATCATTTAATAATTACCCAATAATAAAGTTTGCATTCAAGCCCACACAAGTTTCTGTCTTTTGTGATCTCCATGGTAACTTTGGTCCAACCACGGAACGCCGAGCTTTCGATCTATGCCGTTATTCTAGTTAATTTGGACTAATAGGGACTCCTTTGATCGAAAAGAGATCTTTGTTAAAATCAATTAGTCAGGTTTGTCTGTGAATGGAACAGAGTTGTTGAAAGAGTATAAAGTACAATATCCAACCGCGGAACGTTTCTAGTAACGCTCGCTACACGCTTAGCTACACGTAATCCTCCGCAAACGTGGCCGAGAACATCACGAGGCAAATGAATGGGGAATTGCGAAAGAAATCCATTTTCATTGCTTTCAGTTTGACATCACTAACGGGTACCTTATATCGTCGACCATTTTGCAAGAAAACTTGTTGAAAGAGTATAATGTAGTGATATGTACATAGCTAAATGATTTCATTGAACAAATCTCATCTGAAAATGGGATTTCATTCGCTTTTGACTATAAAGACATAGACAGCTCATTATATCTACAATAAATACATACATTATCTACTTTCTTAATCGTTAAGATTACCCAAAAAAGAGACAAAAACTCCGCCTATAGAACAAAAACAAAGACAAAAAACAAAGACAAAGACAAGAGAACAAAAATCAAAGACAAATCGACGAGTTGAGGGACGAGAAGAGCGACCTTCACGAAGAATTGTCAGTTTCCTCATGTTGATGTCCATTGATGTTCAACACGTTTATCTAATAGTCTATTCGGGAGCGACGAGAGAGCAAAATACTTGCAGCTACCGGCGGAATTCTGGGTTTTTGGGAGGACTTTTTATATGAGATTTTGTACAAACAATTCAGAAATAAAGAAAAAGATAATGTGCAGTTGTGTGTTTTCAGAAGATTGAATAAAATGGGATTTATTGGTTTTTGTCCACAGAAATAAACACAAAGCATTTCTCAGAATTGAGAGCTCGTTTTGCAGATAAAACGATACGGATTGGTAGGAGGAAAGGCTCCCCATTTCCCATCGCCACCCCAAAGCTGAAATGAGTTCATTTCTGATCGAAATCCTTTGATATAACACTTTGCCTTATTTCACAAAAAGAAATCTCCTAAGATTGGTCCAAATATTTTTGGATTAATTATGCATTGGAAATTGGAATACATATTGATGATTTCACGTTGAAAATCTCACCAAAGCGTGGGTGTCCGAATCCGGCTCACTTCCATACCAATTCTTGAAATCCACCGAACTTCCATCCGTCCATTCAAAAGCATCTCCTTTGTTCGGATTTCTCTGAACAAAAAATTTTTTATGTTTCACTGTTGATATCTCAACCAAATCTTTTTACATTTTAAAACTATTCCAGTTTTTCAATTCAAACTATGCTTTCCATCAAAAAATCAAACGATTTTTTCATTTTCCATTGCTGTTTTCACAAAGGGTCAATGGCCGAATGAATCATTACTTTTGTTTTTATTTATGTCTTTCAATAAGAAAAATTCAACCTTCAGTCCGATCCAGAACAAAGCCTTCGAATCAATAGTTTTCGCTGAAATGAATATCGATTGTTTTTGGTTTATGAAGCCTAAATTTCAACGAAAATCATGAATTTTCAGAATTGAATCATTTCGATTTCTTACCGAGTTCCTGAACAAAATCGTTCTCCTCCTGACTGTGAACGGAGACTAGATGGCCCTTTCGACTCGCACAATATGCCTCGGCTGCATCAAATCTCATTATTTGATCGATAACCTTGAGATGAAGATAATCCTGGTTCACAACATCCACCAAACCTTGTACCAAGAAGCGGTTTTTGCCAAATACAACCAGCCATCCAGACCCAAGAAATTCGTCGTTCGATTCCTGAATTTCTTCGAAAATCTTTACTCCAGGTTTTGTTGAAACAATTACTCCTTCCTTTTCCATCAAACAAACTCACAAATCTGCCTGCAACTTCGCGATTTCGGCCGCTTTGTTTTCCCTTTCAGATTGCCTAAAGAGGAATTGATTGGATCGAGTGGAATGGGTGTTTGGGAAATGAAAAAACTGTTTTCTTAAGTCTCAGTCGACAAGAGATGCCAAATGAACTCACATTTGAGCCCTCAATTCGGTTATTTTCGTTGCTCTAAAAGGAGTTCTGTTAGTTAACAATCTGTCATAACTAAGAATAACCAGAGAGAGAAGAAGACTCACAATTCGGCCTTTATCTCCATGCTTTCGGACCTCAATTCCCTCTCGACCTCAGCATTTTTCTCCCTCGTTTCGTTCAACTGCCTCTCGCTGAACAACTCTAGCCAGTCAAATTCTAACAGTTTTCAACGTACAAATCGGCTTTCAACGCGGAAAAGGTCCTTGACATTTCGGCGACTTTGGAATCTCTAGATGTGTCTCAGTCTCAGATATTTCTTTAAGGGATCTCAAGACTCACATCTCTTTCAAATCAGCACCAATCTTCGTCGGTCGTTCGCAGAGTTCGCAGATTTTTCCTCGAGCCTCGACGAGTTCTTGTTGGGTTTTACTCCTGAAAAGTCTTGTCATTGGGACACGCAAACCTATTTCTTGTTCATTCTACCAAATTCGCTTTATTGATTTGCTTTTCTCCAAAAAAACCCACAAATTTCTTTGACAAGACCTCAAATTGATGGGATAGACAAATTGCTGGGTATAACTTGACGACGAGCCCTCGTCTCTACTGCTGAAATCTAAGATCATCGAAAATCCCTTTCTGACCAACTTTGACGAAGAAATTCGATGGAAAAGAAGGAAAATCGTGATGAATAGACCGACGGCCATCACACCCATTCCGATCGATTGGTGAATTCGAAATTCAAGGTTTTGAATTGAAGGAAATGGGAAGAATGAATGAAGCGACGATGCCAAAGTGAAAGTTTTGACGGCCCAAAGGGCAGGAATAACTGTTTTGACGAGCCGGAATAGATGTTTGAGAATGGAATTTGGAGCATTTAAAAGTCACTTTCTGAGGTCATTACAAACAGACCGACAGTTATTTTTAGATTCACAATACTACTAGTTTTTGTGGAGGCTTTATAATTGCTTGCTTTTGGTGTGAAAAGGAAGATAAGAATCTAATAAATCAAATCTATCACCTTGCATCTTTCGATTTTGCGATGTCACCGAGTTAAAGGCTTCGAAAAAAAGGGTTCTCCGTTGTAAATGACGCTTTTTCCACTAAAAAACTATTTTTCGAAAAATCTGTCAGGAGAATTTGGATAATTTTTACTGTTTTGAAATGAGTACATTTTTCTGTGTAGAATGACACATCTTTCATCAAAATTCATCAAAAAACGCAAATTGCACCGCTGTGTGTAAGACCTGAATGACTGTTTTGACGGCCCGAAGGGCAGGAATGAATTTTCTGAAAGACCCGAAGGACTGGAATGAAAATTTTTGAAGGCCAGAAGGGCCTGAGTGTAACCGTGGACTTTTCTGAACTGTCTGAAAGGCCTAATGAGAGATTTGTACGGTCCAAAGGGCCGAACTATGTCTATTTTCCAACCCATCAGCGCAAATACTTTCACGGGTCCCCCCAATTAGACAGCGGGCAAAGCGAACGATCGTGAGCGAACAAAACCGGACGTGGAGCTAGCGAGATCACGACAAGAGTCTCCGAATTGGAGACCAGGTTGGAAGCCGATTTGTGAGTGTTTGGAATGGCGTTAATTCGATGGAATCACCAGAGACGATAGAGACGAGGGATCCAAAAATCCCCAATTTTCCATAAATGGAATCACGGACCTGCGTCGAAGATGGGAAGAAGTCAAAATGGAGAATACTTTGCTGATTGATAGTTGCTATTTCTTGTAGAATGCAATATATTGTTACACCCAAAAAACGCGCATTATTCTTTCCTTGATCTAATAGTTAATAAAACATTTCTCCTTCGGTTTTGAATAGTTTCTAGATTTGCATAGAAATTTGCTTCATGCGAGAATAAAATAGAAATATGATTGAAATTTTCAGGAAACGAATGACCAGAGACGATAGAGAGGAGGCTGAGGCGGCCGCTTCGACGAATCAGGGAAAATGGTAGTGAACTTGTGCAATGTTTTTCTAACAGTTTGTGGAATAAACTTTTGCTGAAGTCAATAACAATTTTGAAAATGAAGCGGCTTTCAAAACTACAGAATGGAGCGGCTTTGTCGATAGTTTTCTGTCGGTTTACAGTTTAAGTTCAGATGCTGGATTCAAGACAGTTACCAGTTGTGCAGAAAAATAGCTCTTTTCTGTGAGATCGAAATTGACGAAAACGAACGTTAATGCGCAGTTGTGTGTTTTCAGAAGATTGAATAAAATGGGGTTTATTGGCTTTTGTCCACAGAAAAGAACATAAGACATTTATCAGAATTGAGGGCTTTTTTTGCAGATAAAAGGACGCGGATAGGTAGGAATAATCACCACCAATGACAAATAACCAATAATGACAAACCTCACACTGCAAAAATCACTCACCAAAAAATCGACGAGCTTGGTTGGAAACTTCTGCCCCACGCACCTTATAGTCCCGACCTGGCCCCATCAGATTATTTTTTTTTCGGTCGTTGAAGAGTTTTCTTATGGGAGAAAAGTTCGAGAATCACGCACAGATCAAAAAAGCCGTCGACACTTATTTTGGCTCTAAAACTCCCCATTTTTTTGAGAATGGGATCAGGGACTTGCGACGAAGATGGGAAGAAGTCATCAATGATAATGAAGAATATCTCATTGATTAATGTGCGTTTGTTTATGCTTTTAGCCATAAACAGTTTTGTGAAAAAAACCGATATTACTTTTTCCTCAACCTAATACTTATCATTATTGATTTTCGAGAGATAAGCTTTCAAAGTTTCGCTTACTTTCGCCAAATAGCAAGCTAGCCTACTTAAAGCCTTGACATCGGGCCGTCGGTGTGCCTCGGTGGCCCGGTGGATGGTGTGTTAAGGCGTTTGACTCGAATTTCTCTTTTTTGTCCCTGGTTTGAATCCTCTCCTTGGCAAAACTTTTTGCTTCTTTATCAAGATATAAAAACTGATTTTAAAGTTTTCTAAAGCCTTTACAAACATTAATTGAGGCGTTCAGTCAATAAGAACCAAAAAGGAGACGAACGCTGTTTTACACATAAATGGCTCTTTCTTAGGATGCCTTGTGGCTGGGTTGGATGGAATTGGGTGAAATCGCCCATTGTCCATCTGTCAATTCAAATGAGACGATGATGGGTCGGGACGCCTAAAGAGTCATTCAGCAATTTTAGTCAAGAAGGAGCCCGATTATTTGACTCCGATGAACAATTGGGCTTGGAGTGGGCTGATGGAGGATTGTTTAGAAACGAGAATGGAAAAGCGTTGGATTTTCAATTCTATGACGTCTTCTGTAAGGGGAATGAGTTGCCAAAAGAAGAGAGTGATACTACGGACGGCGGAAAAAGAGAGTGAACAAAACGTTGACCTACTCGTGTCCATTCCGTAAATCTCCATCACCCGTTCAAAATTTCCGAGGTGATTTCCAAGAAACTGTTTGTCCTTTTCGCACCGGTTCTTATTCGATTTGGTTAACTAATTTGTAAGTTCTTGTACTAATTTTTGGCTACTTCTCAAAGCAAGCCAAAGGCCAGCTCGTAATCTGTTTTGGCCTCTTTGAATTTTCAAAATCCAATCCTCCAATTGACAGAGTTCCGAATAGAAAAGGACAAAATAGATAAATGAATAAAATAGATAAAATATTAGACTGGCCGATAAATTCGTAGAAATTATTTATCTGAAAATATAGCTGAAATCGCCAACCTCGGAATACCCCAGGACTGCATTAATTAGGATTGAATGATCCTTGATATCATATTCTGGATATTTGCGATTTTAGGCGCTTCTCACCTCGCCGAGCAATTGCATGGTCGTCACTCCGGGTTCCATCCGCTTTGCTCCCATTTTTAGTCCGTTTGGCCACTTGGAGATTTTCGTCGGGCTATAACGACATCAGGGAAATATTTGACTCGAAGAGTTTTCTTTGTCATCAATTTATGATTTCTTAGTTAATAAACGTTTTTAGTAATTCTGTATCACGATAAAGTTACATATTCGCAAGCATTCCCCTCAGAGACAATAGGCCTCAGACATCATCGAAAACCATAAGCTCATAGACAAGCTTCAACGAAAAGAAGCTATCGCTTTTCTTTCTTTCTTACATTTTTTACGCTTACAGGTAGAATCAATATTTCACCGCTTTACATTTCTGTGTTCTTTCGAACTCGACTCTCAGTTTATTTGGGAACCTAATCAGCTCGGTAGTTGAGTCTTGAAATTCTTATGCTTTTTGTCAACTTCTTGTTGCTGCTCTTTAAAACTTGTTGATTACATACTTTAACAGAGCATCTCCCCTATCATCAAGTTCACAATCTTTCTTACTAAGCTTTCTGTCAAATGGTTGTAGGTATGTGAACCTTGACATTTCTTCAGACTTCAGCTTCGCTGGTGGGATGTATGCGCCTCCCGTGCGAGAACGCAATAAATCAAAAGGCTCTTTCTTTTCCTAAAATGTATTTACTCCAACAAAGTTTTCTTGTATACTTTTTGAGGAGCTTCATTTTCTTTTGCCTTTTCTGGTGATTCATCACATCGAGCACGTTTTGGCGTTAGTGACCTCTGAATCACTAATACTGAATGCAACCCAGGTTAAAAAACTAACAAAATTCAGAACGTACCTCTCCAAACTAGCTTTAAGCTATGCCATAAAAACTTTACGAAAAGGCAACCCCACCTGGACATTCATGTAACCGTCGACCGAGATGAGGACGCCTCGATATTCCATTCCCCACTTCAATCTGCACACAACTGGCTTTCCGGCGAGGCCATTGAGGAATGGTTTTGGGTTGACTGGTTGAACAGATATTCTCTGAAAACAAAATTAAAAGCGAATTTAAGTAGATAAAACGTTAGAAAGAGCAAGATTGAAGCGGAAAGGAGTCCTCGTAAACAAAAAGAACGGTTTTTCGGAATAATTTTTGGAAGAAAAGGATTCGAATACAAGACGGGCATATAACTAGGCGCTTTATGGAGGGACAGTGTGGTTTTTGCACGAGGGAAGAGAAAGGATGACAGAAATAGAAAGGCGTAAAAATGTAAGATTGCCTAATTCAAGAGCACGCGAAAATAAGCAAATAAAATAATTGCTCGATTAAAGTTTTTTAAACCACTAGAAGTAAGTTAAAGATTTTCAGCTAAATAATTAACGACTACATTTTTGAAATAAAATGTTTATTTTGAGTGCATTTTGAGGAATTTTCGGCGCTAAAGCTGACACCTTTTTTAAGCATTTTGTTTTGTTTTGGTGATACTAGCTCAACGCCCCTTTCTTCATCTCATTATTTTA